CCATTTCTAGATCTCCTCTATCCCCCTTTTAACTGAATACTTGTTTCCTATATGAGAAGTAACCAAAAATATGCTTTATAGCTTCTAATGCACTGTGTCTACATTCCCTCTTTTGCATACAGGCTTGCAGGCATCCCTAGTTTATTCCATATTCCTTTCAGACCTCTCTTGCATGCACTACCAAAAATGGCTTTGACGTGTACCTGTTGACCTAACAATAACCTCCTGTTTACACCTAGGCACACTGTTTACCCATGTCACACCAGTAAAGGGGACTTTCAAGGCTTTTTCCACTCAGTTTCAGCACAGGCCAAGGGCATGGATCAATGACACAGCTGAGACAACCTGCTGCTGCCAAAAGAGAGCAATGCCACACCTCCTATATCCTCTAATTCCCCTCTCCCAGACCAAGCATTCAATCACAGAGTCCCTCACATTAAATCCAGGGTGGAGCTAATTCAACCTGTTAAAACAACAGAAAGGTAACCCAACAAGAGAAAGTGAATAGCTTCCAAGAAATCATATGCAAAACCAAGTTAAGACTTGCACACTAACTGCAGCAACTTGCCAGTGCTCTACTCCTAATGCTGCCAGCTGATTTTTTACATCATTATTTTATTAAGCGTTTGCAGCGTGCTTGGCCCTGCATGAGGCACAAGAGCAACCATGGTCCCAGCTTATTTGTCCATTTAGCCGTTTTTCATCACAGCTCAGATTATTTTTGACAGTACCTTAACTGAGGATTTTTTTTCTATCTTTCTGGATGCTTATTTTGTCAACCTTAAGCTCTAAAAAAACTAAGCATATGTTAGCCAGTTTCACTGCGTAGTTAGCTATTTATCTTGCTTATGGGGCACTATCAACTTGCATTTTTTTTGAACTGACTAATTGCTAACTCTTCTCATTGCTCACACAACACCCTTTAATTAGTATTTCCTGATTGCTTTTAAAAACATGTTCATAATGATTTTATGAGGATTTTTCCGTTCTTCTGCTTTTGTTTAGCAGGGTCTTAAGTTTAATGGCGCCTAAGTGCACATGCCTAGAGACAGAATACAATCAATCCCATAAGGTAAGCAAAATGAAAAATGGAGTAAAACATTACTTTTTCTAATTTCTTTCATTATGGTTACTTACTGCTTTAAAACACAAAATGCATTGAGGCAGAAAGACAAATGTTCATTCTCGCAGTCCTTCCTTCTCTACTCTGCTTGAAGTCTTGGTCTGCTGTTCTGTCTTTCACCTTTACATTCTGCATTTAATCACGTCTGTCTTCAATGTCTCTTAGTTACAAACCTTTCCTTCCCCTGGCTGATGAAGTGCATTAGGTTGCAATGTCTCACATCCCCACACAGAAAGAACCGCATCTTGCAACATTTAAAAATTGCATCTCTTCCCTTCGAGCTCTCTAATACTTTAAATCTCTCTAGGTCTTTGAAACTCAGTACTGAAGTGAGGTACCTGTCAGAAAAGTGACTCTAAAACCTGGCAGCGCATGGCTGTATATTTGTTTTCTCTCAATTTCTTCGTGTCAGGTTTACATAGTTTATGAGTACAAACAGCTTTAAGTACTGTGAATTTGATTTGGGATCTGAAAAACAAATATGCTTATTTCTGTCTTTCTATCCTAGGGCCTGATCCTGGGTTGAGCCTCTGAGCACTGCAAGTGTATGTGCTGAGCAGTGCTCAGGAATCCGGGGCTGACTGTATCAGCAACCGAATTCTCTGTCAGCATCCCCACCTCTTTCTGTCTCCTTACATGCACTTAAAATCAAAGGTGGCTGCCAACCTGAGACCCTCTGAAGCCAGAGAGCTGCTAACCCATCAAGAGGCATCTTAACATTCAGCATCTCAGTATCAGAGTGGCTGTGTGGCTATGGACATTAAGGAGAAACTATGATCAAGACTATGCTGATAAACTTGCAGATGATGTGGCATCAAAGCATGGGCAGTAGAACGTGACTTGGCAGGTCTGAGATGCAAAAAGCTGATATTCTGAGTAAGCCGATAGACTTTTTTCTTTTTAAAGTTGCTTTTTTTCCTTTGTTTTGAAAAAGGCACACTGAGACAGACTGTCATTCAATAAAGCCACTACTTTCTTCACCAACAATCAGCAACAGATGTAGCCCAATAAAATTAATAGTTTGCAAGTACGCACAAGAGAATACTCTTTTGTCTATTTTCTCCATCACAAATTTTGTAAATGCTCTCTGGATTTTAACAGAAAGGCAAAATTGGGGGCTTTTTATATACCTTATTTTGTTTGACTTAAACACTAGAACCACTCTTCTCCCACACTATGAAAAATTAATGCTGATTAATTTCACTTTCTGAAGTGACTCAGGACTCTCCCCCTGCCCTTCACTGTCCACGTTCAACTCAACCTTTATTCCTGCTGAATTCTGGGCTATTACTTACAAAAATAATTTAATCCTACAGAATAGAACTTGTGCTCAAAAATATGCAACATTAATATTAATGTACAAACAGAAATATATTACTCATACATAATATATAAGAAATTAATTTTCATTGAAGTATCAGGAGAAGGATTAAACCCCTTAGATCCTTCTCATGCAATTAGCTCTGCACTTGGGGAAGTCAATGGGACTTCACAAATGAAGGCTTCACATGGTAACACTGGCAAGACTGGGGTTTTACAAAGGCTTGCCTACACTACGCAACATGCCACGAACAGAGTTCTACAGTCATACTGCTGTAATTATAGTACTACCCTGTATGGATACTCTTAGGCCACATCAGTGTTAACAAATACACTGGTAGCATCTGAGCTGGCACACAGCTGCGGACATTGCAATGACGCTTGACTGCGTGCCCAGTTGGAAAAACCTCCGCTGGGGCAGCGCGGCTGCCCAAGGAAGTGGTGTACCAGCAAAACAAGTACTCTGCTGAGCCAGTCTTCAACGCTATCCACAATGATTTGTGTCCAGCCATTTTTTCCTGTGAAGACATACTTGCTTTCCTCTAAGGGAATTAAGGGAACTTCCCAGAATTCCCTCTGTCCCATTTCATAATCTTTTACTTTCACATTACTTCTTAAAATTTCAGCAGTTCCTCTTAGGTACATCCTGTAATAAGCTCATTTCTTTTTGCATGAGGCTTCAGTCTACCATTTCCCTATCAGAAAAAAGAGATTGCAGAATTTGTTTCAGAAGCAGAATGTCATACTTCTAGGTTTGCAGGACTTCAGCCACTCAACCACCATCACACAAAGCACCAGCTGTGAAGCAGGGAACATAAGAAAACTGAGGAGCTACGGTTAAGACAGATAGTTCAGGAAAATCATCAGGTGATGCAGACATTCCCTGACTAGGCCTACGAAAGAAGCACCAAGCAGCAGAACAGGATCAATTGCAAGTTGGCCACTGTCAGTGATGGTTGCAAGGTTTTCGTATGCAGCCAGCCACGTTCCTAAAGTTTGGCACTGAACCTATTCCAGCCATCAGAGCAGAAACCAAAAAGAGGACTGTCGTAGCAGTGGGAAAACAAGTACAAGAGGAAATCTGGAAGCTTGGAGTCTCAGATCATTCTTTGTTGGTGAACCACCCCGATTCCTACTGGAAAACGTGGAGAGGAAGAGGTGGCCTTCCAGATATGAAAAGCCATTAGGTGTGCCTTTTTGCACACAATGTTGAATCTGGATAATAGGTAAAAAACAGAGGAAGTCCATCCCACACAGGATACCAAAACTGTGGAAGCATGATTGAAGGGGACAAACACTTCCTTCTCTCCTACCTCCCACCTTGTTTTTGAATACACAAGCAGCAAGCAACTTTTAAATAGCCATATTTGTAAGTGGCTGTATTTTTAAGTCACTCTTCAGAGGCATTTCACAGGCATTACAAATGATCAATGAATGCATGTGAGGCTTTCACCATGAGGAATTCAGGCCTCTAATAAAAACTGCAGGCACGGGCTTTTTTCCCAGCTTTGCACATTATTACTGGCAGCACTGTACTGAGATGCTCAGTATCAGGAGAGGCCCCACCCTTTTATTCCCTGACTTATGAAGCCATGTACTAGCAACAAAGGTTTAACCACCAAGGAAGAACAGGATAACATCAACATATATCTGGCAGGTAGGCCCAAAGGATGGCGGAAACTACAGAATCACAGAATGGTTGAGGTTGATCTCTGGGGGTCCTCTGGTCCAGCCCCCCTGCTCAAGCAGGGCCACCTAGAGCAGGACCATGTCCAGATGGCTTGTGAGTATCTCAAAGGATACACAACCTCTCTGGGTAACCTGTGACAGTGCTCGGTCACCTTCGCAGTAAGTGTTTCCATCTGGCAGGTAGGCCCAAAGGATGGCGGAAACTACAGAATCACAGAATGGTTGAGGTTGATCTCTGGGGGTCCTCTGGTCCAGCCCCCCTGCTCAAGCAGGGCCACCTAGAGCAGGACCATGTCCAGATGGCTTGTGAGTATCTCAAAGGATACACAACCTCTCTGGGTAACCTGTGACAGTGCTCGGTCACCTTCGCAGTAAAAGTGTTTCCTGATGTTCAGAGGGAACCTCCTGTGTGTCGGTTTGTGCCCGCTGCCTCTTGTCCTGAAATGTCCCATGGCGAGGACGGATGTTAGCAGGAGACACATTTCTGCTGTCATACTCAGCAGAATACACTGTACGAAATACTACAGGTCATATTTTATACACTAACTTGTGACACAATGCAGCAAACGGAATAAATGAAAGTTGGCTTTGGCAGGAGAAAAAAGTACCTAAGGGTTTTGAACAATCAGGCATAAGATCAATTACCAGCCATCACAGAGCTATGAGAGGTCAAAGAAGAGGACTCTTTTAACAAGATGCTACATATCAGGTGGTTCATTTATGTTCATTTTGTACAACTTCGTGAAACAAGCAGTACTGGGTCTACGTAACCATTTTAAATTAACGGTTAGCCCATTTTGGTTCCCTGATGAGAGAGTAACAAATTTGGGTGTTATGTTTGTTGTATGAGACAAATAATACACACATTACATGCAACAACTTTATTGAGCAGTGATAAAAAACACTTCTCAAAACATTTACAGTCACTTAAGAAGTTGGTCTGTGAGCACCACAAAGAACAGATCATGGTTTCTTATAGCTTCATTTCTTGTGACTGATTGACTTTTGCATAAAACCAGGCATGAACTTCAGTTAAAGCCATCTTCCTGGTTTGGATCTCCAAAAGGCCTCTCTCCTGTCTGGATTCTATCACCTGCTGGGTCACCTCTCTTCCCAAATGTTGTAAAAACTTTACAGGCTTTGAGATTCCCATTAATCTATTAAGTTTTTCTTGAAACTGGCCAAGACTAGTCCAAAAGTAAGAGGGGGAAGAGAGAGAACTCTCTAGAGGTATGCAAACCAGCAGACAAAAAGAGACGTGCCCTGATTTCCCATGTCTTGTTCCTAAAGATAATCAGGCTAGAAAAACAGGGGAAATTTCATGTTGTTTCTACCCAATTCTGAGGTCAGAATACAAATACTCATCACTATTCTGATTTTCCACCGGGGCTGTGCAGAAGGGAAATTGTGGCATGTTACCCTGGTCACTTGGCCAGCAGATACATGTACAGGGAAAGCTCCATGAGGACAGTGGGCTGCACAGCTGACCTGTTGGAGTATACATCTCAGGACGTTTTGTCTCATAAAGCTTTGTTGAATCTACATTTGCCCTCTCTAGAGATGCTTAAGGTCTTCATCCACATTCCTGCGTCCCTCTCCAGTTCTGCCTTCCTTCAAGCAGGCATCCCCCCCAACACTGCATTGTTTCACAGAAATCTTGGTTTGGTGCTCTTGAAAACTTTGGAGAATACATTATCCTTTCTTCCTCTCATGTGAAGTTTTCCACAGGTGTGAAGAAGGTGCCTCTCCAAATTCCCCATCTGAAGCCTCTGACAAATAACAGGACAGACAAACAGTATTAGATTTTAATGATCAGTGGACAGGAAACTGAGAAAACTCACTGCAATTATCCCTCTTGCTTCTGTTCAGCAGCTCCCAGCCAACACATAGGCTTCCTTTCACAGACTGACTTCATGGTGTATGTAAGAAGGTGGGAAGTTTGCTGCTTAACTTTGGGAGGATTTACAGCAACAGGATAATAAATAACACCATCCTTGTTAAATTCAGAGAGGACTCTGTCTGATAGCTCACTACTGAAAGTGTGAAGACAAAGAGAAAAGAAATGCTTATGCCTGTATCTTGTCAGCCAGTCCATGGCAGTGGTACTACCAGAAATTAGAGCATAGCGTAATGTGAAGGTGGCCTACTGTGGCAAGAAAAACAGGGTAGACCTTCCTAAAAATATGTATGGTCACATCTTAAACAATACTTTCCTGACAACAATGTCAAAATGACGCAAGAAGACAAAAATGGTATTTTTAGTGAGCTCATTCTGAAACTCCAGAAGCAGAAAATATGTTTGCCACAGATTAGTTCCACAAACTATTTCAAAGCCAAATCTCTGTGCCAGCAACAAACCTTCTTTACCTTTTTCTGTCCCCAAATCCAAAATCCAGCATGAACATCACTTGTTCTGGGCCTGGATTCACTCACAGGAAACCCAAGGCACTACTTCTTACGTTTACATTACAAGTTTATGTGCTTATTCATAAAAATCCTGTAGTCAGAATGATCAGCTTGGATTGCTGATGAGGAGGACTATTTTAATTTCTTTATGTATTTCAATTAAATGCATGACTATTGATTTCAGTGCATTTTTTTCTGTTAAAAGCACAGTGATTTATGTTGCTAAAATGCTATTGCCTGCCCTGCCAAAAGCATGCATCTGGGAACATTTCTGGGTTGCTCACAGTGTTTTCTCTCTTCTTTCCGCCTCTGACTGCCAGTGCATGCTGTTGAAACAAACCAGCTACTTCAAAAGGCAGTTCCTGTTTTCTGTCTTTGTGAGTCTGGCAGTGTTTTGAGAAGCGGGGAGGAATAGTAAGAGAAGAAAGGTGGATTCAGGGCCCATGAATAAGGAGGAAAAAATGTAATGATAAAACAGTACACCTACCTGAGCTCCATTCTTTCTCCCAGGGCGATACCATTTCTGGATTCATCTGAGGTTGGATAAGTTGAGTTTCAAGGAGCCATCAGCTCTCCGCAGCATCTGAATTTTGTGACCCCAACTCCACAAGCTCATTGTCAGCCTGCACTTTCACGGCTCCTTCCAGAACGGTGCTGTGATGTGCCCAATGTCCCCTGCTGTGACATGCCCATCCTGGCATACGGCTCTGCGCAACCACAACAGGACAGAAGAGCAGCCCCAGATTCACACTTATTCTGTTCTTCAGCTGGTGTGACAGTTGCCAGTTCTCTCCTTTGTCCAGCACTTTTGATACTCTCTGCTATATTGAGTTTCTGCAAGTCTTTTGCAACACCTAAATAAGCATCTTTATTCCTGCAGTAATTTGGCAGTGGACTTGCACTGCTCCTTCTCGTGTCAGGACCAGAAAACTCAGAGTGTTCTTGTATTATTAATGAAGGACTGTCTGCATTGCCACAGGTAATACAGTATTCACATGAGCTTCACATTCGTGGAACAAAGTGATACATAACTTAAGCTACTTACAGAAGCAATTATGCTTGCTGAGCACCTACTCTGGAAGTTACCAACAGGACCCCAAGCTGAGTGCAGTTGCACACATGGATACACTAGCATAAGATAGGTTTTAGCAGTAAACTGTTGGTGTAAGCTGGAGTCCATTCCCTCCTCCTCCCCTGCCAGCTAAGCAATTAACAATGTAACTGTTATTGTACAGTTACGCTGGTATGATTCTGCATGAACAGAAGTCATGAAGCTTGAGAAGTGAGGGCACACCTTCTGCTGAGTCAGGAGTTTTCTCATTAGGTGCATGACAGCATATTAAGGAGGAACAAGAGAAGCAAGGCCACAGACTTTTTCTTGAACACTCCTTTTCATCTTCCAAGTGCTTTACAAAAAATGCATCGCAACTACGCATGGCAACACACTTTTCAGGAACTATCAATCTTATTTTCTGAATAAGGAGAATGAAGCAGAGATGTTCAAGCAGAATTGTCCAAGTCAACAAAGCAAATGAGTGACAGAAAAAGGACTGATGTCTGGTTCCCAATTCACTATCATATCAGACCTAGTTCTCCACTTTTAAACATCAGCTATCACCACAAAGATTATTATCCTAGCCTAACAGTGTGCTTGCAATGATTCAAGATCTTTACAAGAAATCTACAACCTGAAGTCAGCATCTCATTAAGCTCAAAGAATAAGTTACAGATTTACCAATTTTAGAGCTCTTTCAATAGCCAGCTATCCACAATCTGCCCGTTTAAGTCTGTTTGACAGCTTACAGGTACTAGACTCAGCAGTATGATGGGCTTAGTGAGTTCTGACCTGTTCCTTCAGTTGTTGTAACTGATGATGAGCACTGCCCACCATTTCCCATCCCAGATGAAAGTTAACTTTCAGTGAAGATGATTCAGGTCAACATCTTTCACTTAGCAAGCAGGGTGAGCTCAGCGGCTGATAGCTCAGCTGATGACATTATACCATGTTAAGGTAATTGCACCCTATTGTGTTACTGAGTACAGGCTAAAAAAGGAAGTTTTCTAGTTCAACCATGAGAATACTTGGCAAAGAAGCCAGAAGTGACATTTTTTAGTGTTTTCTTTTATCTTAAAAAGATATTTTCTAGTACTCTTACCATGGTAATCTATTACTGAGTAATCTATAACTGAGTTACATAGTAATCAGCACTATTAATAGTCTGACAACTAGTCTCCATATTTTTCTTGCCTCGGGAATGAAATGTTCTTGTATAAAGGTTGAAATCTCAAACCACATGACTCTCAATAATGCAAATGAAACCTTCACTCCTTAATATTACAATTTTTTTTTTGTTGAAAATCCCCAAAATATAGCATGTTTAAGTAGCCGT